ATGCGCTTTACACAATTGATGTATGTATGGATTGTGATAAGAGTTGTATGAGCCCCTAATAAAATGATTAAAAAAAACAAAAAACGACAAATTCTGAGTCCACTGCTGTAGGAAGAAGCAACAGGATGGACGAAGCTCGGCTTGCAGGGCATTCAGTCTACTGACCAGGGTTGCCTGACAGCCTGGTAGAGAGCCTGACTGGTGCCAATGAACCATCCTCCAACCTCTCTAGGTTTGTATCTTGAGGTCATGTTGGCAAAGAGAGCCCAGGTCAGCTGGGATCAAATTGTAAAGGGAGGGGCAGCGGTTGTTGACTACTGAGAGGTGACTGCGATGCAAAGTGGTGACGAGGTTACTCCAGACAAGGAGACATCCCTATCAGAGGGAAAGGGATACTGTTGGGAAAGTCAGGTCAGGAAAGGGGAAGGGAGCAGACATGTCTGAGGGAACACAAGTACATGGCTGTTGGTAGGAAAAGTAGGAGGACCAACTTTCAAGTGGGGGAGGGGGGAATGACTCAAAATACATTTAAAGACCCTAAATGGGGAGTATCCCTAGGAATATGCACTGAATAAGCCACATTTGCCCAAGTTTCTGGGCACATACATCCTGCGGACACAGAGCAAGTGCCATAGAACCCTGGGGCATTGAATTCTGGGCCTTCAAAGCACACAACATGCTGCAAAGGCTGCACCAGGGGGGATCGGTGCGGTAACTCCACCACATGCACTGGACCCCACTGCAAACACACGTGTAAGCTGAGTGCTTACAGACAGAAAATTTTGTGTTTGAAGAAGCAGAAGACAACGATAAAAATAGAAGGGTCGGTGTAAGATATGTATGAATAACAATACATAATAAATTAAGGGTTCCCAAGGTTGGCAGGGCAGGGGAAGGAGGGAATAAAGATGAGCTGATATCAAGGGGCTCAAGAAGAAAGATGTTTTGAAATTGTTGGTGGCAATATTTGTACATATGTGCTTAATATAATGGATGTATGGGCTGTTATTATATATGTAAGAACCCCCATAAAATGATTTATTAATTTTAAAAAGAGTATTGAACTGTCAGTAGGTGGATAATCATTGACTTACTACATCAATGCTCTATATAGCATATTAAGACATATATTATTCTGGTAAATCTGTGACTGACATTGTTTATTGTTAATTTATTATAAATTTTATTGATTCTGTACAAGTCAATAATTCAGCTATTGCTATATGGAGTTAGCCTATATTGGCCCTATATCCCTTTCTCAACAGTGCTTTAAAAAGTTAGTACCAGGGGCGAATCAATGACAATATTAAAAGTAGATTTTTATGCCCCGGGGCGATGATTGATAAGACTCTCTATCATAAGTTAACGAGGAGGTCTCTAATGTGAGTCAAAGGCAGATTTTTCTTTAAAAAAGCCACAGATCCGGGAATGGGTTTTGGGCTTGTACTAAATCCTAAATCCGATTTAAGAACAACTAGTTCTTACGTTAGGACCCTGCTTCATACTGTCCCACAGGAAAGGAACACAAGATATGGGTGCAATTGCAAAGTGTGATGAAGAAATTAGATGATGCCCAGTTATCATATAAAATAGTGTCTGGGGTCTTAAAGGCTTGTTTGAAAACAAGCAGTCATCTAAGTGAGTTGTCAACTAAATACAGAGGGAAGAAGCACCCCAACATCAGTGATCGAAGGATTGTACATTCTATAATCTGAACCCGATGAAGGGAATAGTATCAGAGCCTAAACTGTGAGATACTGGTTTGCAGAAGGCTATGGATGACAGTGGAAGCCCAAGATACATTTTGAGATTGCCCCTGGAAATAAGCCTCAAGTGATGTACCTCTATCCATAACAGGGGGATGGGAAGAAACTGGTTGCTAAACAGATTGCGTTGGAGAGATGTTTATAGGGGAACAAAGTCATAAACCTGACTTGAACGGTTTAAACCTTGTCCGTTGATCCCCAGTCTGATACATGTTGGGCCTGATCTGGTTTTCCACATTTTCTCTATTTTGCTTGTTTGTTCATTTGGGGGGTTAGCTCTGATGTATTTTGTCATTGGGGGGTGACCCTCTTGAATTTTGGTTATGTGTTTTTCTGTTTTTCAATACATGAAACCCAGGATTGATGAATCTATAGAGACAGTAAGTAGAATAAAGTTTTCTGGGGGGGTCAACTGGAGGCTAGTAAAACGGTGCTTCTGTCAAGTAGTTCAAGGAGGAAGAGAATGTTTTGAAACTGATTGTGCTAATGATTGCACAATACTGCTTGAGGTGATTGAACTATGGAGTTTTATGAAATCTGTCTTAACGCCCAATACGATGGCTTTGGAAAAAACCCACAAAAAAAAGAATCATCGCGAGAGCGGCACAGGACCTGGGAGCTTTCCTTTGTGGCGCATAGGGTCGCATGAGCTGGAAACAAGGTGATAGCGTCTAACAACCACAAACATGTTGACATTTTTGTGCTGAATATGTCCTTTGTACTTTCATTAATCATATATTTTATTTCCAAAAGTTAAATAATTAAACATTTAAATAATTTAGGTTACCTCATCCACTGATCCACACAAACTTCACGATACAGTAAATTATTATAAAGATGCATATATTTATATTTAAGTTATTTATTTCTTCTGCTATAACATTTCCAGTCATATGAGTTTTTGAAGCCATATAATTAAAGTTTAACAAAAAAATAAAATAATAATGTTTAACTGATTCTAAATTTAAAATGTGGATAATTAAATAAATCCCTAGTACAGAAATTTTTCTAAAAACATTTACAGTTCATGCATCAGCTTTCTATTTTGCCTATTACTATTACAAGTTAACTTACTAAATCCCTTTTAGCAATGTTTTAATGTTTTACAATTCACAGAGCTTATCAAACGTATGCTCATTATTTAAATATACTTGTATTTTTCACTAATAGTGTCAATAAAGAACTGAGATTTTATCATTAACAATCACATGAAAGGTGTATATCAATAAGAATATGAAAGCATGTTTTACAATTACTAGCTTTTATATGATTGTTTTGGACTCTGATTAAAATTCTATTCCTCCTTTTCATCCCAGGTGAACTTCAGAGGGATATCTTTCATCTTCCTTTGGAAGATCCTGTCAAACATCTCACTCTGCTCCACAGTCAGGTAATGTTTCCAGTCTCCAACTGTACCTAGTGAGGCAAGCACACAAACAGTAGCCAGAGGAGACAAGGACACAATGAAGGCCAAGGTTCTCTCCCCACTTAATCTCTTCTCCAAGTTAAGCTAAATATTTCCAGTAGATTACCACAAGGCTTAACCCCTCAGTTCTCTTTATACAGAAAATTAACCTAATAATGCTGCCAACGTGGTGAATATATAGTCCACTCCTCTGTTAATCTTCCAACTGCTACCACTGAATTATAATATTTCTTGAAAAGGTGAAAAAAATCTTAGAATGTATTAAAGACTAAATTTATTACTTGGTAAGCAGTATACCACACAGACAATATATAATACAATTTTACACAAAAAACTGTATAATGAAGATATTTCTTCATCCTTAATATTGGCTCAAAATTTGAAGCTCAAAATTTTCAAGTAATAATGTCACCATTATAGAGGGTACTCAAAGCTGTGTATGCTGAAGCTTTATAAAAATTTTAAACCAATTTTAAGACATGAAACCTTGTAACTTAGCTCCTTCAGTTATCACATTTTTTAGCATATTCTCATTGGTATTTATAGTACATAGAATACCTTTTGGGGGCATGCAAAGTGCAACATATCTGATTTAGTTGACTGTTGAGGAGTATGCTGATAAACTCAAAGGATTTGCCTTAGCTGCTTTATGATTAGGAGTCAATTTCAGAGTCATTTCTGACATCCACTCCAATCTTTTCATTCTTTCCGGTCTTTTTAATGATCTTTTACATTCTTTATGGATGATGTTCTTGATATCATTTCACAGCTCATCAAATCTTCTGTAATTAATTTTCAATGAATCAAATTGTTCTTGAGATGGTTTCAAAATTTAGGTGGGATATAGTCAGGGTGGTATTTTGGCTCTTGTGGACTTGCTTTAATTCTTTTTAGCTTTGACTTGAACTTACATATGGTAAACTGAGGACTTGAATGAGTGTATTTGGCTTTATTCCTACACTCGAAACCACAAGCATGGAAAACTAGTCCTATATTGAGAAAAATGTCTATTGTTCTGAGATAGAAATGTCTTAAAATATATGCTTTTCAGGATAAAAATATGTGTCCAGTAATAACTCTCCATTAAGAGGCAGTTGTAAAGGAGCTACTGTAAAAGTTCAATAATTTTTGTTCCTGCCTGTTCACTATGCCTGAAGGTTATCTGTATATAAGAGCAATCAAGTTCTGTAGCCCAACCCACTGTAAAATGTAGCAAACCCTCTTCTGATGTCTCTTGTTGATACGGATCATAGATTGTTCCCCTTGGAGGGCTCTGGGGCGTCCGTGGTCAACTAGCACTAGGTCAAGATGATGACTTACTTCATTGTTTGTTTATTATGTGACCTGCTTATGATATTACCCACTAACTATGTAATAGATTCACTGTATGACATTTATGCCTACTGAAAGATTTTAAGGCCCATCACATATACCTATTGGAAAATACATTCACTCTCTTGGTCCTGACATTGGAACAAGGAGCCCCTATGCCCTGCTGTCTGTCTGTGTGTCTGCCTTATTTTCCCCAATCATAAATTCCCTCCTGAGGACCTATTTGTTGGGGACTCATACTCCAACAGTTACATATAAGCAATTGATGGTCTACTTCACAGGTGGCTCTGGGCCTTTTGTTGTTGTTGTTGTTCGGTGCCATGGAGTTGATTCTGACCCACAGAGAACCTACGCCCACTAGAGTGAAACACTGCCCAGTCCTGAGTCATCCTCACCCGTGTTCCTATGTTGAGCCCATTTCAAAGCCACTGTTTAAATTCATCTCGTGAGGGACCTCCTCTTTTCCACTGCCCCTCTACTTTGCCAACCATGGTATCCTTTTCCAAAGACTGAACCCTCCTGACCAGCTGCTGATATTGAGCTTCTCCATCATCTCTTACCACAGATGTATTCAATTTGATTTCTGTGTATTGCTTCTGGATAATTCCAGAAATATAGTCACATTTTGTAATGTTGAAAAAAATTATTTGTGATGAAGTTATTAGTCTTGCAAAACACGATCATGCAGTCTCCAGCTTTGTTTGAAGTTTTTAGTCTTGCAAAACACGATCGTGCAGTCTCCAGCTTTGTTTCTATCACTTAGGCCATGTTTTCCAACTACTATGTTTCCTCTTTGATTCTGACTCATAGCAACCCCCAAAACAGAGGGCAACTGCGTCATTGTGTGGCCAAGGCTGTAGATCTTCACAGTAGCAGAGCTCAACTTTCTCCCATGGGGAGGCCAAAGCATAAACCTTTATGTAACTAGAGCTCCCTGATGAGAATGGTCACAATCAAATCTTTGAACGTAAGAGGCAGTGGTTAGGAGGAATTTCTTAAACCTATAGTTGCACACCTACAATTTATTGCTTGTTATTAAATAATTGAATCCATACGAGATTGGATAGGGGCATATCATTCTACTTTTAATGATGAAGAAAATAAGAAGTAATTATTTCAGGAAAGAAATAAGTAACAATAAGAGAAAATAGATTTACCTTCTATTATGTTCTGGAAAGGGTAGACAGACAATTGAAGCTAATATAGATTATATTGTATATTATATTATACCTTATACTTTATGTATTATATATATATAAAACAAAAGCAAATTCACTGTCATCAACTTTATGCTGACTCATAGTGACCTTATAGGACAGAATAAAATTGCTCGGTGAACTTCCAAAACTGTTAGTCATAACACTTAATGAGAGTAGAAAGCCTTGTCTTTCTTCGTTGGAGTGGCTAGTGGTTACACACACACACACACACACACACACACACACACACACAAATTGATCACATATATCCATGACCTTCACACAGACATTACCAGCAAATTTTAAAATGTCATCATTTAGTCTGGAACTGGGGTTGGCAAACTGTGGCTCTCACTGGAGCCATATGCAGTTTTTTTGTTATGTGCATGTGACCCTGAAGTAAAATTGAAAGTGAAAATAAATGTATTATAGTTTCATTTCTAATATTACTTTAAATTTTCTTTGTTTGTAAAAATATATTTATGGCTCTCAAATAATTTTTAAATTGTTATGAGGGACAGGATAGGCTGTTCTGTCTCAAAGGTTTCCCAGCCCCTGGTCTAGAAAACAGGGAAGGAGTGTTGATTCAATAGGATGAAAGGTCAGGCTTTGCACTACCACAGTGTTACAGTTTCTGAGACACTCCAGAGAGCTATTTTTAGTTAAAAACTTAGATGCTTTAAGAAAGCAGCATCACTTAGAGAGGCATGTTGGAAATACCTCTGAATTCCACCATGGGTCCAGGACTCAAGGAAACATTTACATTTTGGCTGCTTTAAGCACTGAGCATTACCTTTGCGTAGGAAACGAGCATCATCTGTTCTTATCCCAATTTCTTCTTTTAAAATTCTATTATAATTTGCTTGTGGATCAGATTTCATGTTTTGAAAAGTGGCTTGTCTCACTACATCATCCACAGCTTCATCACTCAGTTCTTTCTCAAGAAAACTGCAGATTTTAAGCACACAACTTCTGAGGTCCTAAAAGAAATTATTGTTGTCAGAAACTAATCAATTTAAGCATGAGTTATAGATGCCATTTTTAAATAACATTTTTAAAGCAATGGTGCTTGGTCTTATTTTAATTCTAAATTTGACAATAATATATTATCCTATTATTCTCCTTGGAAAATTAGTACTTGGGTTTTCAGTGCTTCCTATTGTTTTAATGTGTATGGGTGCTAATTTTCACTTGCTCAATTATTCAACATTTTTGGAACTTGATGTATCAAAAACTGTAGTCGATGTTTGAAAAGCTTAAGAGAACAATAAAATAATATCTGTTTATCGGAAGCACACTGTTTCATGAGGATGTTAATAAAGAACATAATTAAAGTACAATGGGGAGCTTAACACAAATACAATGGGCAATGAATGGTAATAAAGAAAGATTGCAGTCCAGTATGGATTACAACTTAATGTAAAGAAAAATCGTCACAAGTGGACCAATAGGTAACATCATGAAAAACTGAGAAAAGAGTGACGTCCTCAAGGATTTCATTTTACTTAGGTCCACAACCAATGCTTAGGGAAGCAGCAGTCTAGAAATCGAACAACACATTGCATTAAGTAAACCTACTTCACAAGTGTTGAAAAGCAAGGATGTTACTTTGAGCACTAAGTTGAACTATGATGTGGGCGAAGAATATTGAAAGTACCATGAACTTCAAAAAGAACAAAGAGCTCTGTCTTTGATGAAGTACAGCCAGGATGCTCCTTATCGCTAAAGATGGGAGACTTCATCTTGAATGCTGTGGACGTGCAGTCAGGAGAGACGCGTGCCTGGAGAAGGACGTCAGGCTTGGTAAAGCGGAGGGGCAGCGAAGAAGAGAAAGACCCTTGATGAGATGCATCCATCTCATCAATAACGGACTCAAACATAAGAACAAGCGTGAGGAGGCACACGAGTGGGTGGTGCTTCGTTTTGTTGTACCGAGGGTCACTATGAGCCAGAAGCGATGTGATGGCACACAATAACAACATAACAGGAGAAGTCAGAACATGGTAAAATCATCTTCAGCAAATGTTTACTTTCACGTTCGACTCCCCGCATATTCTATTGGTTCACCTTTCTTTGAATGGGCACAAACATGGCTCTCTGCAGTTGATTGGCCACAAGCTGTCATACAGGTGGCATAGACTAGTGAGCATTCACATAACAGTATCAGTTCATGGAAATGCTCCAATTTATATCCCACCTTCCAGAGCCGTGCGTATCACCAGTGCTTTCAGGGTAGCATGGGCTTTTTCTTTCAACACTGTCAGTACCGGATCATGTCCTATCTCTTGACATTGTTTAATGTCAACCAATTCTTTTGGTACAATGCCTGTGTATTTCCACCTTTTATGATATTTTTGGCTATTTCCTGTGTAATTCAATTTTTTATCCACACAGTCCTTCAATATTACTAATCCTGACCTGAATTTCTTCCCCAGTTCCTTCAGCTTGTCCAGTAATCTCTTTCTTCTTGGTTTTCTTTCTCCAGGTTCTTGCTCATTTCATTAAAATGCTTCCTTAGTCTCCTACAGCCACCTTACACATGTTCTGTTCAGCTCTTTCACCTCATGATTTTTCCCTGAAGTGTCTTTAGCTTTGCTAAATTCGAGACCATTTCAGAGTCCTTATGGTATTCATCTCAGTGTTTCTTTCTTTTCCATTTTCCATCTCACTGTCTCCACGTCCAATGCCCTTGATGTAATCCTACAACTCTTCTGGTGTTCGGTCATGAGAGTTTAATTCATTTGGGATGCTCCAAAGGTATACTTTGGTTCTCAGGGATATTTTCTAACTTTTTCAACCTTCCTCATACCACCATGACAGTCCCCTCGATGCTTGGCCACCAGCCTTGTTCCAGTTGATGACACAATTGAGCTCCACAGTTTCTCTCCAGAGATGGAGGCAATGACATTACTTTAATAATCCAAGGTACCGTTATTTATCATGGAATTAATTCACAAGTTTCTAACAGGTCTGTTCTTGTTCATAACTATCACCTACCAACCAGTAATGAGAACACTCTTCTAAAATTATACATTTTATCACATTTCTATCCTTTTTATAACTCTTTAAGGGCTCCTTATTGTTTAAGAATTAAAAATAATAACAACGATAAAAAATTCACTAACATCATCTGTAAGCCTTGTACAATCTGGCTCCTATATCCTCTGTAGGTTCATGTTTCGCCACTTAGCTCCCTTAGTTCTTTCTTCAGGTCCTCAGAGCTTTTACGGTTTAAAAAAAGTTACACATCTCATTTTCTTCTTTTGGACCACGTATCCAGTCTTCTTCCCTGTTTAACTTGTAGTTCCAAAGTCACTTCTCCCCCGAAACACCCTGATCATCTTGCCTATGTAAGATCTCCTTGTTAACAGCTTATCTGCACTTGTACTTTATACCAATTATCAGGTTTTTACATTATCTATACTCTCGTAACGAATACAAATCTTACATGATAAAATATAAGCTATGTAAATAAAGGATTATTAAGAGAATCTTCTGTTTAGCATAGTTACATGCCTGTCCTATTGTGGGTATACAATATTATAAAATAAACTCATGAATAAAATTTGTTTTAAAATAGTAATCAGATCACAATATAGAAAATTTCAAATGTGTTTTGTCTTGTTTAAACAATTCTTAAAAGGTCTTTGAGTTGATAGTATTTAAACCCAATTTCACATAAAATCTAAATTTCAAATTTCTCTATACAACAGGAAGGATATACATCATAGAACACATGTTCACATGTGGCAATAATCTGTTGTACCTTCGGAATGGCTTCTCATCCCAGTGCTCCACCTGCTCTCCTCCCTCTTTGTCCATGTCCAGCTGTCTGGACCTTGGGTTTTGCCTTGATTGTTACACGTAGCTACATGAGACGATAAAAGGCTGACAGTCATGTCTAACTCATAGCAACTCTATGTGCAACAGAACAAATCGCCTCGGGTCCTGGACCATTCTCACAGTTGTTCTTGTGTTTAGGCCAATTATTGCAGTCACTGTGCAAGAGTCTTCCTGTTTTTCACTGCCCCTCTACTTTATCAAGCATGAAGTCCTCCAGGGACTAGTTTCTCCTGATAAGATGGTCAAAGTTTGTAAGACGATGTCTTACTATCTTTGCTTATAAAGATCATTCTGATTGCACTTCTTCCAAGACAGATGTATTTGTTCTATTGGCAGTTCATGATACTGTTGACCTTCTTCACAAGCACCGTAAATCCAAAACATCAATTCCTCTTTGGTCTTCCTCATTCAGTGCCCAACTTTCACATGCATACGAGGCAACTGAAAACACCAGGACTTGGTTCAGGCACATATTAGTTCTCAGGGTAACAAAAAAAATTAGAAGTCCCCCGAAAAATCTGAGCTGGAGCATGTAGTAAGATTCAGTGAGAACTAAGAGAATGTTGTTCACTGACACCAAAAGAAGAAGGAATTGTAGGGAAAGAACAGTCACAATAATATAACCCAACGATCTTACCTTCTTCATGTCTTCATACCTCATAAAAAGAATATTGAAACTATGTCTGTGCTCATACCAGCCTCTGATGTGATCAAACCAAAGGCTTCCCACCACTGTGTGGAAAATTAAGGTTGAAAATAAGCAATTAGTTGAGTTAATAATCAACATTAAATTTTAGTAAGAGTAAAGGATGTTGCATTTTTACAAATAATGAACTATATCATATTTTGTGTCTTGCAGTGCTCAGAGAAAAGATATTTCCTGTTACTGATTATCTGTAATACCTTCTTTGAAAATGGATAGTACCTTGAGGATCAGCCATATAATTTTAATAGGAATTTTCTTTATAGAAAGATACTTTTTGTTCATAGGAAGCAGCAGTGCAGTAATAAGAATGTCACAGTTTTAACTATGAAGATCAATTAAAAGGTAAGACCATTCATTTTCCTGCTTTCTCTATCTGAATATATGTTGTTATTTATCCTAATGTTCTCTAGTCTAAGACCTCTGAACAGCAGTTTTAGCTGTCAATGCTAAAAATAAAACACAATATTCTATAAGAGTGAGATCTCGGTTTTATGTTCTACAAGCTTCTTGCCCCAGCCTGTATTTCTCATTGGATTATGAACTGTAACCATTAAATTGATTCTGACCTCTGGAAATTCACTTCTTGTCAGTGAATCATGTTCCAGAGGGTCTTCAACGGCTAATACTGGGGAAGCAGATTGTCAGGCCCTTCTTTAGAAGTGCTTCTGGAAGATTTTGACCTCAAACTGTTGGGGTTAGCAGCTGAGTGTATTAACATTTGCATCATCCAGGGCATCCACTCTGGACCAAGTTAATATCAATTGCTATATGATCTGACCAAAAGATTTCCTAAAATATACACCTCTGTGACCTTACCCCCCTCAAAATGATCCTGGCATGAGTTGAAGGCAACATGTCTACATCATAAAATCATGTACAATAGTACATGATTTCTCATAATTCTACCTTGACTTATCTGCCTTCTCTAACCCCAATTATGTTTGCTAAACTTGAGAATTTCCCCAGAAGTCATCAGTACCTCATAAACAAGTTGTTTGATTAATAAATACACTTACCTTTTCCATCAAGAAATCTTTTCATGAATTGCTCTACATTATCTACATCTTCTAGTGTAACCAAAAATTTTGTAAAGTGAAAATATGATATTAAAACATCCTTAGGGTTTCTGTAGACAAAAACAATCTGCCGGGAAAATGAAGAAATACTTTTTAACAACCGTTGGTCATTTTCCCTAGATAGCATATCCCTAAATGCATAATATTTAATTACAAAAATTACAATCAATTATTCACTTAGTCTACTACTTATGGAAATTGTTTAAATAGTTTTATTATTAGGAAGAGTATTCCAATAAATGACGTTATTCACATGACATTTCGCGTCTGTGCACGTGAGGAGGACACATTTCTAAAAGTGGAGCTGTTCACTTGTCAGGCTTGCATATACAATGAACCCTCGTTTATCGCGGTTAATCAGTTCTAGACTCTACCATGATAAATGAAATTCCGCGAAGTAGGATTCCTTATTTGTAAATCAAATATTTTCGCAGTTAGAGTATAGAGGACATGAAAAAACACCCTTTAGTCACCATTACACTCGTATTACCCAATTTATTAAACGAAAAAGGGAAAATACAGTAAAACATTTTGGACGT